CAGCCGGAGATTGCCCCTCCTTCTCCAGCAGAGCATCTGCTGGATTCGAACCACGTACCTCTGGGATTGCAGTGCAACTTCTTGCCACTTAATTTTGTTAACTTTTTAAAAGAAGCAACTTCTAGTCTTTTTGATCCCTCCTATTCTTTTCTGTTTCATTTCTTTCTGCTCTTGACTCTTTCCTTTCTTCGGGGAAGGTAGACTTTGCTTGCCGGTTTTCCCTCCTTGTTGAAAATGTTGGGTTCAGATGCTGAGTTAAGATGATTGTTGTTGTTGTTTTATGGACCATTTATTCGTATTCTTTGTAAATGTCAGGAGGGGCTGTTCCTTGGAGAAGGACAGCATGCTGGGAAAGGAGGCAGGTCAGCAAGACAAAGGAAGATCCTCAACGAGATAGACTGGAGATAGACTGACGCCGTGACCCCAGCGGTGGTTGTTTTCCTTAAGTGCGATCGAGTACCATTCACAGCTGTGAGCACTGGAGCTGTCTGAGCGCTGTCCAGCCCTGCGCCATCCTCAGCTTCCCCAGTGCTGCAGACACCCTGTCAGTGCAGCTCCGTGAGCGTCTTCCTCTCTCCCGCTGACCCGCCACCTTTCAAGCCTAATGTCCCTCTCCAAGGAGGAGCCTCCCTGACAACACTGCCACAGGGTGTGAGACAGAGCTGCACCGTCCTTGCCTCCAAGGGGCCTCTGGATGCACCGTCTCTAGTACACATGTTTGTTCCTTGGCAGCCCGTGGTATATTCAGCACTCTTCTCTAACACCACAGCTTAAAGGCATCAATGCTTCTCCTGTCATCTTTATTCACTGCCCAGCTCTCAGATGCATAGCAAGTGATTGGAAAGATTATGGCCTGAATCAGTTGCACCTTAGTCTTTAAACTGACATCCCTGTTCTTCAGGAACATTAGAGAGATCCCTGACAGACTTCCAGATCTCCTGACTGCTGATACCTGGGGTGCTGATGGTAGATCCAAACAAGGTAAAATTGTTGGCAATGTCAGTCTTTCCTTCCCGTCATGATAGTGCCTGTTGGCTCAGTTCTGAGAACTTCCATTTGCCTGATGTTGAGATGTAATCCTTATTGAAGCTGCTCTTCTTCATCCTCTGACGCAAACACCTCAGGGCCTCCTCACTTTCAGCAGGTAAGGTTGTGTCACCTGCATAATGCAGACCCTCCAATCCTGATGCCTAAAGTCCAGCGGTTCCCTACTGATTTGCTCGGTATACAGACTGAACAGGTGCCGAGAGGATCCAGCCTGCTGCACACCCTTCCTGGTTTTGAACCATGCAGTGTTCCCTTGCTCTGTTCAGACAGCAGCTGCTCGGTCTATGATTAGGTGTTGCATATGTCTAATTAAATGCTCTGGGATTTCCATTCTTCTCAGTGTTAGTCATAGTTTGTTATGAACCACACAGTCAAATGCCTTTGCACAGTCAATAAAACACAAATAGACATTTTTCTGGTACTCTCTGCTGTTCCTCAGGCCCGACCTTACATCAGCAATGATGTCCCCACTGGCACAGCCTCTTGTAAACTCAGGAGGAACTTCGTGGGGTCCTCTGTCAGTGTACTGTTCTGCTTTTGGGTAATCTTCACAATATTTTCCACACATATGATATTAATGCTATTGACAGTTTCCACATTCTGTTGGGTCACTTTTCTTGGGAATGGGAACAAATATGCACCTCTTCCAGTCAACTGGCCAGGTAGCTGTCTTCCAGACTTACAGCACAGACTGGCAAGCGTGTCCAGGACTGCATCTCTTGGTCAGAGCGGGTCAGTTGATTGATGCAAGGAAGTCCTGTTGATTCTTGGGCCCTTATTTTTTGACAATTCCTTTAATTCAGCTTGAACTTCCTTCTTCATCACTGGCTCTGAGCATATGATAGTTCCTGAAATATTTCAATGTCAACCAGGGTTTTTTTTCGTCTTTACAGTGACTTAGTGTACTCCCTGCATTTTCTTTTGATACTTCCCAGATCATTCAAGATACCACTCATAGCATCTCTGAGTATTGCAGCGGGGTTTGAATTTGTTTCGAGTTCTTTCAGCTTGAGAAATGCTGAGTGAGTTCTTCCTTTTCGTGCTCCAGCTCCAGCTCCCTGCCCTTTCCGTTCTAAACTTGGCTTTGTCCTGGGGAGCTGCCCTCGGAAATCCCTGTGAAGCTCTTTTCCTGTGGCATCTCTTCCCTTGTTCTGACTTCTCAATGCTCCAGTACAATTGTCAGGTGTCTTCTGACATTCTCCTCTGTCTTTGTAATGACCTTTTGGTCTGCTCCTGGATAACTCTGATGTCATCTCACAGTTTATCAGCTTCAATCTTTAGTGCCTCACACCTATTCTTGAGGTGATTTTTAAATTCAGGTGGGACAGACTGAAGGTCACACTTTGGTTTTTGAGGACTTGTTTTCATTTTCTTCACCTTCACTTTGAACTTGCACATGAGTAACTGCTAGGCCATTTCATAGTCAGCACCTGGCCTGGTTTTGACTGCTGGCACTGAGCTGCTCCAGTTGCTTTTGTTGTCCATAAGGTTTCGAAGGTCTGGTGGATGGCCAGTCCCTCTAGACTGTCTCCCTGAAGCCTGTCCACCTTGAGTGGTCCTGTTGGTGTTTTAAGTCTGGGTGGCACAGCTCCAGCATCATACAGCCACTGCCATAAGGCAGCCTGAGAAACGAGCTGAAGAGGATAGTGTGGTGTTCACTGTCCAAATGAGCCCTTGCAGGCTTGTCCCAGAGACAGACAACACCGTGAGTGAGCGGTGGATACTATCCACACACACACAAAAGACCAGTTAATAGAATGTTACACAAATGTTACATTCAAACTACAAAACCCAAAGATGAAGAAATTGAGAACTTCCATCAACTTTGGCAGTCAGAAATTGATCAAGTATGCAGTCAAGACTGTTAATAATAATTGGTGACTGGAATGCAAAAGTTGGAAACAAAGAAGGAAAACTGGTAGTTGGAAAATATGGCCTTGGTGACAGAAATGAGACTGGATATAGCATGGTAGAATTTTGTACAATGAATGATTTATTCATTACAAATACTTTTCTTAAAAAAACCAAACATAAATGCAGACTGTTCCCATGGATTTCACTAACAGATGGTACAGGAATCAGACTGACTACATCTGTGGTTACAGACGGAGAAGCTCACTACCAGCAGCCAAACCAGGCCAGGGGCTGACCGTGCGACAGGCCATCAGCTACTCAGAGGCAAGTCCAGATTGAAGTTGAAGAAAATTAAATCCATGAGAACCAAAATAAGACTTGAGTTTATCCCAGCTGAATTTAAAAACCGTCTCAAGGATACATTTGATGCACTAAACACTTAGGGACAAAGACTAGATGAGTTGTGGAAGGACCTCATCCATGATGAAAGCAAAACCTCATTTCAGAGACAACAGAAAAGACCAAAATGGATGTCCAAAGAGGCTTGCACTGGACAGAAAGGATAAAATTGGGGGGGTAAAAAACCACTTAGGATAAAGAACTAAAACAGGGGAGCTCTGGTGGCCTAGTGGCAAGGAGCTGCAACTACAATCCCAGAGGCGCATGGTTCGAATCCACCAGATGCTCTGCTAGGGAAGGAGCGGCAGTCTCCTCCTGTACCAGTCAGATCTGATTTGATGGTACACTCACACGAAAATAATAAAAATAAAAATTAAAAAAAAGAACTAAAACAGAAGGCTTCATAGGACAGCTGGTAAGCAAAGTATTAACAATGAGATGTGCAAGGAGTTGGAGTTAGAGAGCCAAACAGAAGCACACACTCAGCATTTCTCAGGCTGAAATAAATGAAGGAGAAATTCAAGCCTTGAGGTGCAATATGGAAGGGTTCTGTGGGCAAAATCTTGAATTTGCAGCAAGCATCAAAAGAAGTTGGAAGGAATACAAGGAGTCACTATACTGAGAAGAGCGAGTTGGCACTGAACCATTTCAGGAAGTACTAAATGACCAAGAACCAGTATTACTAGGAAGCTCTGGTGGCCTAATGGATAAGGAGTGTACTGCCAACCCAAAGGCAGGAAGTTCAAACCCACCAGCTCCTGCTCGGGAGAAAGGACCAATAGTACTGGAGGAAGAAGTCCAAACTGCACTGAAGGCATCGGCAAAAGTAAGGCCCCTGGAACTCATGGAGTACCAACTAAGGTGCTTCCTGAAACAGACGCAGCCCTGGACATGTTTACCAGTCTGTCAGCAGATATGGAGGACAGCTACCTGGCCAACTGACTGGAAAATATCTATTTGTTCCTATTCCAAAAAAGGTGATCCAACAGAATTTGGAAATTGTTGAATAATATCATTAGTATCTGATGCAAGTAAAATCTTGTTGAAGATTATTAAAAGCCAGTTGGCACTGTATTGACAAAGGACTGCCAGAAAGGCAAGCTTGATTGGAAGAGGTTGTAACACAATTGGTAACATTGTTGATGTCAGGGATACTTGCTGACAGCAGGGAAATATTTTTTGATGATGATGTAAAGGCATTTGACTGTGTGGTTTGTAACAAATTATGGTTAACATTGCGAAGAATGAGAATTACAGAACACTGACTTTTGTTCCCAAGACACCTATACCTAGACCAAGAAGCTGCTGTCCAAACAGAGCAAGGGAAAAAAAAAAAAAAAAAAAAAAAACAGAGCAAGGGGACAGGGCATGATTTAAAATCAGGAAAAACAGGCATCAGGGTTGTATCCTCTCTCCATACCTATTCATCTGAGAACACATCATTTGAGAAGTTAGTCTATATGAGGAAGAATGTGGCATCAGGATTGAAGACTCATCAGCAACCTGTGTTACAACCCAACTTTGCTTGCAGATACTGAAGACTTGATGCACTTACTGCAGAAAATCAGAGACTTCAGCCGTACATATGGATTAGCTCTCAACATCAAGAAAACAAAAAGTCTCACCATGAGATGAGTAGGCAACATCATCTTAATAGGTAGAGAAGAGTGAAGTTGTCAATTACTTCATTTTACTTAGATCCACAATCAACAGCCGTGTTAGCAGCAGTCAGCAAATCAAAAGTCATGTTGCACTGGGACAATCTGCTGTTAAGTACCTCTCCCACGTTAAAGAGCAAGGATGTTCATTTAAAGACTAAGGTGCACCTGATCTAAGCTGTGGAATTGGGGGGACAAAAGTGCTTCTTATGCATCTAGTTTGCTTGGCTCCACAGTCAACACTCTTGGTAACAGCAGCCAGGAAATCAAGAGATGGATTGCATTGGGGAAAGTTGGCTGTCAGGGACCTCTCCAGAGTACTGAAGAGCAGCGATGTCAGTCTGGAAACCAGGATGTACGTAATCCAGGCCATAGTCTTAACAATTGCTTGCTATGCATCAGAGAGCTGTGAGGGGGACCCCCAAATCAAAATGAAAACAAACAACCAGAAATCCAAATAGCAATGGGATTGGGGCAAAATGAGAGGGGCATCGGGAGGAAGCTCGGGCAGGGGCCCACGGTGTGCTTGGCAGAGCTAGGTGCCTGGGACACTATCTGCCTGCCCAGCAGAAATTTGGTGTCGGGGTACCCAGCCAGGTCAGAGCTGCTGCTCCTCTGAGAGGTGGGGCCCCAAGATGAGAGCCAGGCCCCAGCCAGCCCCGCTGCTGGGGGAGGTGGAGGTGGAGGGTTGTTGGCCTGAGAGGAACCTGGAGTGCGTCTGGCTGGGAATGGGGTCTTTGCCAGTCCAGGGGGCAGGTGCAGGCAGGTGCAGTGACCACACAGAACAGACCATATCCACCGTGACAGGGTCTACTGAGGAGGTGACCATTTACAGCTGGGCTGGGAAGAGGGCAGGACAGCCTCTCAGATGTGCCTGCAGGCCCTCTGACCTTCAGCTGCAGGTTCTGGGTCAGTGTCGGGAAGCTCTTTCAGTCTGGACAATTAAGGGGTCTCCCCCTCGGAGACTAGGCTTTTGAAGCTCTGTCTCACATACTTTGGGCACATGGCCAGGAGGGACTGGTCCTTGGAGAAGGACATCTTGTTCAGAAAGGTAGAGGGTCAGCACAGGAGAAGACAACCCCAGATGAAATGAACTGACAAAAGTGACTAGGATAATGGGAGTAGGTGTGTCAGAGTCAGGGAGACGGCCTCAGGCTAGGGCGGGGTTCAGAGCTGCTGTACATAGGCGACATGACTGCACCTAACAACAGCCGGGTGGCCAGTCAGCTCAGACAAAGGCCCTTGGCTCTGGCTCTGTGGGGCAGTGCTTCCAGTTCAGCTGGCTTGGGCGGGTCTCTGGTCATCTCTGTCTTGGTCTGTGTCTCGTGCCGGAATCTCTGACTCTGATGGACGTGTGCTGTGCTCGTGCCTCTTTTGTGCCAGCAGTGATGCTCCCACTTTCTGTCTCTTAAGCCTGGTGGGGTAGCAGGACCCCTCAGTAGTCCCTACACCTTTATGTGCAGGTTCTGTGCTCTCCCCGCTCAGCCGGCTGCCAAGTGCCACACAGCCATGGGGTGATCGTCAGGCCAGCAGCTGGGAAGGCCGCTGTCAGCAGGCAGCTCACACACACACACACACAGCCGCAGCCCTGACACGCAGCCCTGACACACGCAGCCACACACACACACACACAGCCCAGACACACACACATGCAGCCCCAACACACGCAGCCACACACACACGCAGCCCAGACACACACACGCAGCCCAGACACACACACGCAGCCCAGACACACACACACACAGCCCTGACACACGCAGCCCAGACACACACAACCCTGACACACGCAGCCGACACATGCAGCCCAGACACACACACACACGCAGCCACACACACACACACGCGCGCGCGTGCGGATCCAGCTGACTTCCCTAGCACCTCGGTGAATGGATTGCACCTGTCATTTTTTCACAATCTGACAAAATTTTACTTGCTTGTGATATATTGTTCCATAACTTCTGAATTCTCTTGGGTCACCTTTCTTTGTAACAGGAACAGAGGGGCCTCATCCCATCACTGCTCAGGTAGCTGTCTTCCACGTTTCTTGCACAGACTAGTGAGCATGTGCAGGGCATCGCCTCTGACACCTGTGGAGCTCGGACTTCTGGCTCGAGCATCGCTGGTTCTTGAAATGCTGAGCACCCACAAGTTCTTTGTGGTACAGGAAGCCTGTGCCCCCTGTGCCCCAGGCCTGCATCGTGGGCACGGCTCTTCTTGCCCTCTGTCTGGTGTTTCTCAGGGTTGGGGAGTGACAGCACCTGGGCACCATGAGCAGGTGTGCGTTAGCCAGAGCACACTGCAGCGGCCCGTGTGTGCACCGTGCTCGCGTCCCGGGCCAGGGCTCAAGGCTTCACTGGCCTTGCCCTGCTGTTTGCTGCCTCATGATCGCAGAATGGCTGCTGCAGGGACAGACATCATGCCTGCTATTCCAGGAAGCGAGGAGTCCAAGCCCCAGCAGGAGGTGCTGCTTTCTCCCTGTATCACTTATGTCAGAAGATTCTTCTAGACTGGCCTGTGCCTCTCACTAGTCATCCCAGCTACAAAAGGGTCTGGGGCTGAGAGCCTGGCCTGGGGTGGCCCTGCTGGAGCCCATCCTAGTCCCTGGTGCTGAGCCCTCTGCGACTCCACAAAGCCTTCATTACCGTCAGCACTCCCTCAAGCCCACTGGGATGTTAACACAGCAGCATGTCCCTTCCCGTCCATTCAGTTATTTCAACCAAGTGTCTTTCAGAATTTTTCCTTGTGGAGAATACACACAGCAGAGCATGCCGCCAGTCCAGCCGTCCTGCAGAGTCCCGTGACACTGGCCCTTCACTCCCGTCTCAGCCTTCTAGTTGCTGTTGTCAGTTTGATCCCACTCGACGCGCATGTTCCTGACAGAGAAGCTAAGGTGTTGTTCGTTTGTAGGTGGTATTCCTGGTTTAGGATTTAAGGACCACTTGGGGGCATAGTTCCATCCACCCGTTGTTTCCACGGTCTGTATTCCGTGAGAATTTACTGTTCTGCCCCTCGGTTCCCCCTCCGATCAGGATACTGCTGTGAAGCTCCTCCTCAGAAAGTGTAACGGTAGCAGGGCACCATCTGGTCTCCCTCGTCCTGGAAGCAGTTCGGCATCTTTTTAAAGGACACTTCACTGGCTTTGCTTCTTCCGTGCATTTATCAGACGACTCTGGGCTGGGGATCAGTGGACCTGCTCGTCTCTGGGTCGGGGAACCCGTCCTGTGTCTGCCGTGGTTCCCGTGTTTGATTGGCTGGGCGTATTTTTAGTGTACTTATTTCTATTTCACTAAAGTTAACACATTGCCACACACTCTTGACGACCGTGCTTAGAAACACATTTTTTTTTAGCTATAACCATCATTTGCGGCAACGTGTTAACGTACTTACCCTGCTCCCAGCGTAGAGCACTGGCAGCTCAGTGGTAAGGAGCTGTGCTGCCAACCTACAGGACCACAGTTCAAATCCAACAGCAGCTCCATAGGAGAAAGATGGGTCATCTCCTCATGGGCAATTTACTGCTTATGACTTGATGGTACACGACTCCTCCAGAAATCCCTAAGAGGCCTATTCTCTCTCACACGGGCACACGCAGCCCCTGCACACCGTCTCTGGCCCTGGCCTCCAGAGCACTCACAGACCCTCTGGGAGATGCTCCCTGTTTGGGGCTGCAGCTCCTGCTCCGTCCAGGCCGCGTGGGCTGGGGAGAGAGGGGCCCTGCTTGTCTTTAGGCTCATAGACACACATCCCCATCCTGGGCTCACAGGCCCACAACATCCCCTCAGCACAGGGTGACACTGGCCTCCACAGCCTCTGAGGAGAGCCTGCAGGTCTCCCTGCCAGCCAGCCATCCCCCTTCTGTCAGCAGGCAGTGGGCTTAGGAGACAGCGGGGCAGTCCCAGTTGATAATTGTTGAAAGGGCAGATGTCCCAAATCAAGAGCAACCACACTTCACAGGGGACCTGCTCCCACTCAGTCCCCTGCTTTCAGCCAAGCTGCGGTCAGCACGCGACCTGCTGCATCTCTCCGGACCAGACCTGCAGCGGCTGACCGGTCTCTCAGCCACTGATGCCCGGCGTGCACTCCAGGCGGCTGCCCTGAGCCTCCGGGGTGGTCACATCCTCACTGGTGAGTTCACCTCCCTGCCATCGGGAGGGTGTGCCCACCCCCCATGACCTCCCCGCCGTCACATTTGTGGGTGCCCACCCCCCACGGGGTGCCCAACCCCACAGCCTCCCCACCATCATGAGGGGGTGCCCACCCCCCACGGCATGCCCACCATCATGAGGGGGTGCCCACCCCCCACGGCCTGCCCACCATCATGAGAGGTGCCCCCCACAGCTTCACTAGAGGAGACAGGGCCACGCCCCAGGACACAGGTAGAATCCCCCGTGATGGAAGAGGCTGGCCGTCCAACCTGGGAACAGCTCTCCTTTGCAGCCCCCACTCTCCGTGGAAACCTGGGTTGCCAAGCTCACATCCAGGCACCTGGGGCTGGCACTGGGCAGGGTGGCACTGAGGGAGGGCAGGGCTGAGGGTCGGAGGAGAAATGACCACACGCTCCCCCGTGCCGCCCGCAGCTCTGCAGCTGTACCAGCAGGAGGCGCGGTTCCCTGCGCAGCACCAGCGCCTGAGCCTGGGCTGCCCAGTGCTAGACAGGCTGCTCCGCGGAGGCCTGCCCCTGGACGGCATCACTGAGCTGGCTGGACACAGTGCCGCGGGCAAGACCCAGCTGGCCCTGCAGCTCTGCCTGGCTGTGCAGCTGCCCCGGCAGCACGGGGGTCTGGGGGCCGGTGAGTGCAGAAGGGGAGAGGGGACTGAGATGGGGGAGGGCCTGGGGCAGATGAGTCCTCCCGCGTGTGCCCTCTGTGCACTGGCCTCCGGCTGAGAGGGTCCACTACATCCAATCTGCTCTCCATGGGTGCCCATTGTCCCACTGGACTCTGGATCGGGACACGGCTTTGGAAATGGGTCATCAGTGGCCTCCCAGTGTCTGGAAGGCTCAGGGGCGGCAGGGTGGGTGGGCAGCGCGTTTCCGGCCAGGCAGCCACGGGAGGACACGGGCGCCGTCCCCAGGGGCCGTGTACATCTGCACAGAGGACGCCTTCCCAGCCCGGCGTCTCCAGCAGCTCATCACGGGGCAGCCGCAGCTGCGTCCAGATGTCCCACGGGAGCTGCTGAGCAAGGTCAGGTTTGGGGACCAGGTGTTTGTGGAGCACGCAGCTGACGTGGTGAGTGTCCCCGCTTCCCCGGCCCTCTGCCTACCGCCCTCTGTGACAGCGGGCGGGAGGCTGCCCATGTGAGTGCTGGGGTCAGCCCTGAGTGAAGAGGAAGAGGGGTCCAGCCCCAGCACGGTGCACCGCAGCCAAGAACTGAGTGTCACAACAAACCGTGCATAGAGACTTTAATGTTCAGAAATGTCCGGTGACACCAGCCATCCACAGGACAGGCGTGGGTGGGCAGTGGCCTCACACCACACCTGTCACCCGTGTTCGAGTCCCCTGTGGCTGGTCAAAGGGTCAGCCAGCCCTGGTGACAGTGGACAGTGTGACACTCCTGATAAGCTCACAGCCCTTGACAATGGCCCTTGCTCTTGGCCTCCCTGGTGGCCGTGGTCCCAGCTGTCCCCATCCGGCTCCTAGCCACATGCAGCATGTCCTGGGGCAGGAGATGTCACTGGAAGAGAGAGGACAGGCCATCAAGTGGTGGTTTCCTCAGCTTCCTGCTCTGTGCCCCTACTGGAGTTCTCCAGTACCCCCACTGTGGTGGGCAAGTATGGCCCAGCACCCCGGGTCTCCTGGGTGGCCTGGCAGGCGCCTCCAAGCTGCCATGAAAACACCCCCTCCCCCGACTGCATTCCCCACCTGTGGGGAGCTGCATGCCCAACAGCCTGGTCTCCCCAGGAGATACCCTGTCAATGGTCAGGCCAGGAGTGCAGCCAGGCATGGACAGGGATGCAGGTAGGGGTGCTGGGCCAGTGCTCGGCCTCCGCTGGGGTCCCAGGCTCACGTTAAAGCTGGCGTCTTCCAGGCCGCTGCTGCTGCTGTCATCCACAGAGAGGGGCTCCGCCAGACACGGCCTGTGGGAGCAGAGACGGCCTTGTTCAGGGCTGGACATGCTCACTGCCCAGCTTGGGGTCGACGGAGCCAGACTCAGAAGTGATGCCCGCGGCCTCACTCGGGGTTGGACGTGCCTCCAATCCCCCTCAAAGCGGCCAGAGCCCGGGTCTGGCTGCCTCTTGTCAGCTCAGTGGCCATGGCCTCAGATTCCATGTCAGGCATGACAGAGCCTGGCCCTGGCAGGGGGTTTCTCAAGCTGCTCAGGGATCAAGAAGTGGGGTCCTCCCAGCCTGCGAAGTCTGACTAGGTGTCCCCAAATAGTCTGCATCAGGGAGGGCTTCGTGGTGAACCTGCTTGAGGTGGCCCACAATGACCAGGATGCCCAGTGATTAGGGGTGCCGTCAGATGAGCTGAAGTGTCCGTGTGGGACAGGCAGGACCCGCGGCTCCCCACAGACCACAGGCTGTCGGCCACTTGCTGGGTGAAGCTCACTCAGTCCCTCGGCCCCCAGGATGCCCTGCTGGAGTGCGTGGGCCGGCGGGTGCCCATCCTGCTAGAGCGCAGCATGGCCCGCCTGGTGGTGCTGGACTCAGTGGCCGCCCCGTTCCGCTGCGACTTCGCCGGCCAGGCCTCTGCCCGGGCCCACCGCCTGCAGACCCTGGGGGCTGCGCTTCGCCACCTGAGCTGCACATTCCAGAGTGCCATTCTCTGCATCAACCAGGTACCTGCACCCTGGCCAGGTGCCACAGCCCGCGGGGTGGGCAGGGAGTGGGGGCAGGGCCCTCAGCGCCCACTTATCTTCCAGGTCACGGAAGTGGTGGAGGAGGGGGCGCCCTTGGGGCCTCAGGGGTGAGTCGGGTAGCAGTATCCCCAGCTGATGGCCGTTTCAGGAGCATGGAGGGTTAGGGTGGGAAGGTGGGGCTTTGGGGTCTGAGTCTGGCCCCTCGTGACTGTGGGCCCTACATTCTGCTCAGCTTCTCAGATGCGCGGATGTCCCCAGCCCTGGGCACCGCCTGGTCCAACCAGGTCTTGGTGAGGCTCACAGCTGAGCGTGTGCAGGGAGAGGCGGGCTCTGGCCCCCCAGCCCGCACCCTGAGGGTGGTCTTCGCACCCCATCTGCCCCCCGCCTCCTGCTCATACACCATCACCACAGAGGGTGTGCGTGGGACTCCCGGAACGCAGTCCACCTGATGCCTGATGACCCTTGGACCTGCCATTGTGCTGTGTCCACAGCGTCCTGCCTTCCCTGGCGGGGCCATGAGGATGAGAACTGTGGTGGGGGCGTGGATGCTGTCAGGAGCCCCTTTCTCGTGGTGGCCCATGCACCCACCTCCACTGCTCACAGGGACCCAGAAGCCCCTCAAGGACACAGGTCCTCTGAGACCCCCAGCTACCCTGAGGCTGGGAGACCCTGCGGTGTGGGGAATCCTGGCAGGCAGCTTCATGTAGCTTCCCTGCCCCGACAGTCCTCCCTTCTAGAAAGGGAGCGTCCTGCAGTAGGTGGGCTGCCAGACCCCACAGGACCCTCCCCACCACCTGTAACAGCTCAGAGACTGCACCTGCACCGTCACCAGCTCTGTGGCCAACTCTAGGTGGGCCCCGAGTCCAGTCCCCTTAAGCAGGCCTCCCCGCCCCCGAGGACCCTCCCACCCGGAGGAGCCCCCCTGAGGACCCTCCCGCCTGGAGGACCCCCCCTGAGGACCCTCCCACCCGGAGGACCCCTCTCCCGAGGACCCCTCCCCCAGAGGACCCCTCCTAGGGCCGGATCATAGACAGAGCCGCTGTGACCACACTTTATTCTGTGATTAGATAGGAAGCACCAAAGCCGTCCAGCACATCACACCGCCCTTCAGAGCGCCTGTCTTGGCAGCACTGGCCACCCAGGACCCCACGCTGATGGCTGTGTCCCTTAACCCCCCCACCCCCCGGCAGAGGGATGCCAGCATGCTGTCCTCACAGCTTGTCCAGTCTGACCGCATGAAGGCAGGTCATGAGGTGCCCCTGACACAAGTGGTCTGCCTGCCTTCACAGAAGTGCAGATGGAACCTTCTAGAATGTAGCATGTGTACCCTGTACCTTGTTAAGAGAATCCGAGTTCTCATCTACTACTCCACCCTTGGTGACGTTTCCATTTCACTATAAACTGGTTTCTACACATATTCCGGCAGCTTTTTGACCCAATGGACATACGTAGGGTAGACCAGACACCCACCAAGAAGAGTCTAGAACCTCAGTCCAGCGTTTGACGGAACACTGACCCATAGCACTGCCCCTGAGCACCTCAACACTGGCCGGCCCGGAGCCCCACCTGTAGATCCAGGTCACACGCCCTCTCTGAAACAAGGCTGCCTAAGCCCCAGTGCCCACAGGGCACCTCAGGCCCAACTTACCCACGTTGGGAGAGGACCCCCAGGCGGGAAGGCACATCTGGGCTGCTGCTAGGAGCAGCATCGGTCTGAGGGGACAAGGACACTCTGCCACCTCTGTTCCCCTCAGATATTGCTGCTCTTCCAGCAGGGATCCAGCCCACCGTGCTGGTGTCCTCCGTGAGGACATGGACTCCGAGTGGCCACGGTGGCCCTGGGAGCCACACCTGTCCACCCTGTCCTCTGGAGCTCCTCTGTAAGCCTCAAGGGCGGTGTTAGGAGTTTCTATAGTGTTTGAAGCTGCAGTCTGTGCACTGTCAGCCCTCCTGATCCCAAATGGATGGTGCAGGGGGGCTCATCACGGCTGTGACGTGAGGTGCCACCAGACATGGTGGACTCTGAAGCTGTGACAGTCCCAGATGCTGGGTCTTCAGGTCCATACTGCCCCCTGGCCCAGCCAGCACTGACCAGAAGGGTGTGGGGAGACCTGAGGTGGTTCCACTGAGTCCTCACAGGGCCTGGGACAAGAACACGGCTCCACCCACGGCTGCAGCATGAGTCCAACTAGCCCACGCTCCCCGACTCCCTGCAGCCTAGGAGCCACGGTGCCCAAATGCAGGCCAGCCTGACAGATGTCTGTAACAGTGCCACAGTTCAGGCCAGCGAGACCCATCCTGTTAGAGGACATGGTGGAGACCTGCCTAACAAGCGTGTGAGGCGGCCAGGAGGGAGACCTCAGATGGGTGGGGTCCAGTGCAGTGCTTGAGCATGGACACCTGTCCCCTGTCCCCTGCTTTGCAGGTCACCTGGTACGTCATCCTTGAAGGATACAGCTGGAGTGGTGTCTGGCTTACTGCCCTTACGTGGCCACAGGAGATGGCTGGGGGGTGGTGAGGTAAGGCATGCCCCAAGCAGGCGGATCCGAGTGTGCACTGACACTGTGCCCGCTGCTCCGGCTGCAGAGCGAAGCGTCCAGGGGCCCGTGTCCACTGGTGCAGGCCACTGATCAGGAGGGGGTGTGTCTGTATTGGGGGCCTAGCTAGCTGCGCCTATGGGGGGTGAGGGGGCCTGGGGGTTGGACATAGCTTAGTCCCGGGGTCGGGCTAGCGCTGCCGACCTCAGCGGGCCAGGTCAGTGTGGCTGGCGCTCAGAGCGCGTGAGTCGGCCAGGCTGTTCTCTCGTTCCTGGTGAGAAAACAGAGGGAGAGTTACACAGGTCACAGGGCCAGCTGCCCGTGCTCCTCAGCACTAAGCGTGACAGGGACCCAACAGGGCTGCTGGTGCCGGCCTTCCCAGGGCCACAGCACCCTCCTTCGCTGTCCTCACCTCCGCATGGCTGCCCCTCGGGCAGAGCACTGGTGAGGGGGGAGGGGAACGTCTGTCAGGACAGCTAACAGGACTGTCAAGGTCACAGCTGGGGGGGCCTGGACCCACAGCACACGTCAGGTCAGGACGACCCCCACCCAAATTCAGTACAAGCTGTCCACAGACAAGTCCAAGTGGCACTGGGGCACGGCCACCCTGGCCTGGATGCCAACAAGGCATGAAAAGCAGAGGCCATTCTGGGCCACATGGTTTTAAATTTGAAACAAAAACATGACATTTGTGAGGGACACGGACAATGTGATGTTGGTCACTGTTAGCCAGCTCTCAGATGGTTCTGGAACACAGAACAACATCTTCACTGGACAGTGAACCAGCTTGAGAGCCGCAAGTGACTGGCCAGCCCAGCTCTGCTCCTATTTTACCAGAACATTCTTCATCAGGCCAGCCAGGGGGCCTGGTTAGTGTACTGCCAGCAGCTCCCCATGACAGGTGGGCAGTATCTAATGGCCATGATGACTGCGAGGGCCGCTGTCACCAGTACTGAGGGGACAGCAGCCCAGCTCTCAGAGGTGAGGGGACACAGGTGTGTGGAGGGGACAGTGGCCAGTCTCTGGAGGGCCAGCAGGGTGGGCTCTTACTTGGACGTGGTCTTCAGCTGCCTTGCCACCCACATTAAGAACGTTCAGAGAGCTGGCACGCTTCAGGCTGCAGCGGTGACAGTGGACATGCAAGGACAAAGGTCAGAACCACGTCAGCCAGGTGCTGCGGGAGGAGCTGTCCCTCCAGGGCCCAGGGACTCTCTGCCACACCCCTGGCATATCTGCCTCACTGTCTAAAGTCCCTGCCTGGCCGTGTGGTGGTCCCTGCGCTTGGACACCTGGCTGCACACCAGCCAGCGGCCATCTCAGAGACCCTAGCTGATGCCAGGCTACATGTGTAACGACGTCCCCTTGTGTCCACAGAAGGCATACAGTGTCTTGTCAGTGTGCATCTCAGCTCAGAGACCACCAAACGTGTGGCTGTCCATCTAACAAGCGCATGGGGCTGAGACGCCCTTAACTGCACATGAAGCAGCCTGTGACTCCTCGCCCCAGAGATTGTGGGGGTGCTCACCCCAGCAGGGACCACTGTAGCTCTCCAAGTGGAAGACACAGTGATCAGGGCTGTGTAAGCCAGTCCACAGCAGTGTTGAGGGACTGTGCCCTGGTGTGCACACGTGTGGACACACACACAGTGGATGTGTGCTATGACTGCACTGGCCACATGGCACGTGACCAGAGAGCAAAAATGATACTGAAAGCCAGCATCCTATCCCGTGCCTGTCACAAACCCCCCAGGACAACATCCCTGTGCTGTCCCCGTCATCCCCCCAAGACTCCATCCCATTGCCGCCACCCATCCCAGCTCCATCCCTGTGCCCATCACACACACCCCTGGACTCCATCCCTGTACCCAGATCACGTTCACCCTCAAGGAACCCCAGGAAGTGCACTGATGCGCCCCGGGTGCCCTGTGTCTCCTCTGTCCACCCGGGTGCCCTCTGCCCAAGCAGTGTGGGCACAGCTCCTCCGGCTGCCAGCGCCACCTCCAGCCTACTCCATGTGGACCTGTCCACACTTCACACACAGCCTCGCCTGCTGTCCACATCTCCCTCCACGCACTGCCCCCATGTGCAGGCACACTGCTTCGATCAGGACCTCACAGAGGTACCAAGAGCACCAGCTGCCCGGCCTGAGAAGCGTCACACTGACCCACCAGTCAGAGCACATCCTCCAGAACATTCTGGGGCGTGCAAAAAGCTCCTCTTGGGAAGCAGATTCCAGTCACTTTCTGGGATATTTTGAACCCCCACCCAGTGGCAGATGAGCCAGTTGTTAGGGGTGTTTTTAAGGGGTCTCCATGGAGAGCACAGGGAAGAAGCGGGAGGGAACAGAGGAGAACCAGGCTTTCCCTACGGGTGTGCCCCAGCCCCAGTCTGGTGCCAGTGAGGTCCGCACATGGGGCTCTCCCTCCGGCCAGCAGAGCACAGTTCCCAAGACCTGGATGCCCGAGAAAACCACTCAAAGACCACTCAGAACGAACTGGTCCCAACAGGGCCTCGTTCTCAGCACCAGGGCCCCAGCAGAGGCACAGCTGGCAGATCTCAGGGTGTCAGGAGCCAGGTTCAGGGTAATCCCAGCCAGGGGTCACCCAGGACAAGTGCTCTGCCCCAGGAGGGGTGCAGAGGACTTCAGGGCTCAGCCTGAGCACCAGTGACCATGGGGGCAACAAGCCCACGTTTCTTAAAACAGAAAAGATCACAGGAGGCCTGACGGGCACGTTCTGGAGTCCTCACCAGCCTGGGGTGAGAAGGGTCACCTGTACTGAGGGTGGTAACGTGGGCAGCAGTGACTGCCTGTAGGTCCCTCCTGTCCCCCCAAGAGGGCTGCCGTGAGACGGAACCAGGGTCACCACACGAGCCGACCTGGACGGCCCGGCATGCAAAGCCTTTGAGACCCACACTCCTTTGACAACTTGAACTTTATTCCTTAAATGACCAAGAATCCATGACTTGCATTTTTTCAATGTGGAAATCGAGATTTCTCGAATCTAAAGGCAGGGAGTGGCATCCACCTCCTAAACAACACGTCTCTGGAACTCTGAACGCTGATAAATGATGAAGGTCCTGGAAAGGCTTCAGGCCTCTGTTCACAGGGGCACTAGGAGTCACTGACTGGATGACAACATGCTGTCCGGAGGCTGCCTCCAGCCTAACGTCATAAGCCAGCTGCAGCTAATGTTTGTTTTTTTAAAAAACAAAACTGGCTTTAAAGGTTTTTACTATTCTTAATCTAGAAAATGGGAGCTCTGGTGGTCTAGTGGTAAGAAGCTGCGCTGCAGTCCCAAACGCATGCAGTTCAAATCCACCAGCCACTCCGAGAGAAGGCTGGGCAGTCTCCTCCCACGGAATTTCCTGCCTCAGGAAAGCTGCTAGAAGGTTGGTTCCAAGTCAACACCACACAATGGAGAAAACGAATGGCAGGCCCACTGTGGATAGTGAGTCCGTGGGATTCTGACTCGTGACCCCACAGGGCAGAGCCGAGCTGCCCCGCAGAGGGTCTGCAGCTATGGTTTCAGGGGCCCTGCACCCCTTCCTGTGTCCAGGGTAGAGGAAAGTGATGCGCCCTAACATCCCGTCCCCAGCTGGCCTCACTAGGTGGGCTCTGAGGGAAGAGGGGTGGGCGGAAAGCAGTGCACCTTGGCTGCTCTGGACAGACCCAAGGCGGCCTCAGACCCCGCCTGGGGGACAGGAAGGATAGTTACCCAGGGTTCTTGGGCTCGCTCTCCCGCGAGCCGCCTCCCTTCAGCTTCCTAACCAGCTTCTCGCTGCTGCGTCTAATGGAGGCCCGCAGTTTGCTAAAGGAACCACTCCGCTTTAAGGCTCCCGTGCCGTCCTGAAAGAGACGTGAACAAGCGTGATGTGCGGCCGGCGACCCGTGCACGTCACAGCCTCCTGTCAACAGAAACGTTCAACACAGTCCCCCGCTGTCAGGTCAGCAGACACCCACCGATGACCAGAGAGACTGGCCCCAGGAGACTCGATCACACACAAAGCCCCAAGACAATCATGGCCCCTTCTGGGAGTATCATCAAACCAAATTCCACATTCAGGCGGGTCACTGTGACACTAAGGTCCCTTCCAGGACAGAGCCAAGGTGGCTGATGTGAGGGTTTCTCAGGCACTGATAGAAACGTGTGTGTGGGAGGCAGGCAGTAACGGCTCAGCGCCCTCTGACACCTCACTGGACCCCCGGGCAGGGCCGATTTGGGTGTGGGCACCAAGGAACCCAGTCAGGTCTGCACGCACAGCTTTATTCCCAGAACCCGCCACCTGATGAGAGTGCCCACAACCACCGTCCACCCCTGGAGCCACACAGCGCCGAGGAACAACGAGCAGGTCTACGAAGCAGACAGACAGCAACGCGGTCAGCTGGAGTGAGTTTATTAGAAGTTAGAAAGACACAGATACACCAATCACTGGACACTGGGATTAGTAGAGAAAAGCAGACTGCCGGCTCGCCACACAGCCCCACAGCGGGACGCCAGCGGCCCGGCCTGGGTCTCCGCACACACTGCTCACCGCCACGTGGGGACGCCTGGGGGGACCTAAGGATGTGTGTCCAGGGGAACAGCTAGTCGCGCCTAGGTGAGCAAGTGCTGTGCGCTCCAGGGGACGCTCTTCATCCACACAGCGCATGTGACTACGGACATCTCGGGCAAAGCTACAAGTATACAACGACTAGGGCCCCGAAAGGGACAGCAGAGCTGAGGGGGCACCGGTGGCAGAGCCCGCGGTCAGCTGGAGGAGGGAGGCCGGGCGCTCGCCGTCATGCAGGGGCTCAGAGCCCACGCGCGAGGCCTGTCAGAGAAGAGAGAGCGCCGTGAGCCCGCCCCAGCCAGGCCCTGCCCGGCCCGCCCAGTATTTCTAGGTCCCATCACGCTTCCTGCTGCCCTGTCCATCACAGAAGTGGATGGGCCTCGCCTGCTCCCACAGCCAGCAAGCACGAGGCAGGCTGTTTCCTGGGGGTTCGCGGGCAGCCCCAGAGGGCGGCAGGCAGAGCACCCCGTGGGAGCTAGCGGTTCGCTGCTCCGGCCCCGGCCCTGTGAGCATGCAGTGGACAGGGCAGCAGCGGGTCCTGCGTTTGCCAGCTCTCACTCACCACGGGGTGCAGGTCATTTAACCAGCCCGAGCTTCGTGTTCCTCATCTTGAAACGGAAAAATAACACTCGTTACCAATTCCCGCAAGACAGTGGAGCCCTAGAAACTGCCCAGAGAGGGCTCCTGCTGGGCAGCCAGGTGTGGGGCGAGAGGGCATTCCTGTCCCAGAGACTGGACAGAGGCGAGACCGCTGCGCCACCACGCAGGTGTCCTCACACCTCACACAACGCCACACACTCACGTGCACTAAGTCACCGTCACTCACACCGTCACACGTGCACTCACATGGTCTCACCTTCATCTCTGTACACGACCACATGTTCCACACTGTCCCGTCCAGTCCCGCTGTCACACACACACGGCCTAGGGAGTGACAAGCCACAGGTCACGTAGCCCCGTAGGACTGGGCTTGAGGTCCTGGCCCATCTAGAAGGCTGCACAGAGGCCTCTGTTCAGCCTTGGCCCCAGGGTTGAGGGGCCCTTGTCCCCACACTTCCTGCAGACATCACAGAACACACATCTCCAAGAAGTGGGTTTGAAACAAAGGCAGAGGGCATGCGGTGCCAACGAAGACCCCTCCCAATGCGTCTGGGAAGCTGTTGGTTCCTTCTTTTCCTGTTGATATGCCTGGTTTTCCTAGCAGAACTATACAAATGAAAACGAATCTATGTCTAACTGACCAGCATGTCCAATTACCCAACAAGCTGGACAAGGCCCAGCGTCTTACAGACTTCCTCAGCCATCCTCGTGAAGCCTGGGGTGTGGGTTGCCTGAACGAGGAGCAGGGGTCACTGGGGAACAGGGAGAGGCCACAGGTGGGGGGCTGGCTTCCAGAGCACTGGTTCCATCACAGACTTCTCAGACATGTATCTGCTGTCAACACGTTTCCTGGAGACCATGGGGCCAGGAGGTGCCACACGCCCGATACAGAGCCACGTGCAGCTACAAAGAGGCCAACCTTCTCTGTCCACACACAGTGACTGAGGCTTTAGAACAGCTGGCTCGTGCAGAGGCAGCCACACTGAGTGCATGCTCCCCGGAGAAGTGCGGCTTGAAAGGTGCTTCATCTTTACGACGACACAACAGCACCGCGCTCCCCTCCACTGTCTACTCTATCGGGAGTCAGTCCTCAGACTCGAGCCCCATCCCTACAACTGAAGGCTGGGTTCTCAGCGGTGGACACTGAGCTCCCCCACAGGCAGGCACTGTGACCCCATCGCTGTGCTTCTTAGTGCGCACACATCTTTCTGGCATCCTCTAGAAATAGTCACTGTCACTTGCAGGGTCTCCCTGCCATTATCCCCCTGGGCTGGGTGCTGGCAAGCAGAGGCCAAAGCAGCTTCCCAGCTGGTGGCTTTTCAAGTTTATGCCAAGCACCGAAGCCCTCTCTGAAAGAGTGGAAACTGTGCAGAATCTCAATAGCAGAGAAAATCCAAATGGCATGTTCCTATCAGAAATGGCAAAACAACTGGTCTCTGTTCTGGAGAAGCGGAGGCAGCGAGGTGAATCTGGGGGCTTGGAAGGTGCGGCTCATCACGGCCATCAACAACTGTCTCCTGGGACCCGAGACCAGAACTGGGTGGTTCCCGGCTGTCACTACTGAACAGGCTGATCAAAGATACCACAGAAGAATCTTGATGAAAAGGTGGAATATACAGGATAGGATTTCAAATGCTCAGACTTCACAGAGGGTGGATGAATCCCTGAAACGGATTCTGAGAGATCACTGTCAAACCTTCAACCCAGTACTGTCCTCTCAAGTCTTCTCACCACCAGACAGTCTTAGCTGGTGAGGAAGGTCGGCCCTGAGCAATGTGCTCTTGACATTAGCCCTGATGGGATCAGCTGACAGCAGTCTGAAGGAGCAGGCAGGCGTCAGTGTCCAGTGAGCCAACTTCCTCCGGGGAGAACACCATCCATGCCACCCAACTGGGCACATGAAACCAACAGCTTATCTAACGTTTGCTTGGACATTCTCAACAATAGATAAAACATTTTTCCAAAAAGGAAACGAGGGAGCTAGTGAGCCCTGCCTGGACACAGACAGTGGTCCCCAGGGGGCCGGGTTCAGCACCCCACGGGCTCTGTGGCACCCAGTGCACACGTGCACACAGTGAGTGTGTGCTAAGGGATGGCTTTATCCCACTGAAGCCTCACAAGCTCAGAGGACCCTGACGGTGACAGCGGGGATGCCAAGGCCCGATGTCCACTGGGCCTCGCCATATGTAAGACATACTGTGGAGAAAGAATGCCTTCCACTGGACCACATGGCCTCAGATTTCAGTCTCTGGCCAGTCAACTTAGAAGGGACTTAGCCTCAGTGTTCTGGTCAGGCACGTGTCAGTTCACGAGCGAGGTCAGTCAAAAGGGAACATGTAACTCCAAAATCAGTGTGAGTGTCTGCAAGTAAGGGGTGCCCGGGGTGACGGGTGTGACCGCAACATGAGCGTCCCAGGGTAATATGTGTGACTGGCCACCCTGAAAGTGTCCCAGGATGATGGGTGTGACCCACCGTGAGTGTCCCGGGGTTAATCACACCATGAGGGTCCCAGGATGATGAGTGTGACCGTACCATAAGTGTCCCAGGGTGACCGCACCGTGAGTGTAGTAGAGTAAGATGTTAAAACACGTGTGACCACACTGCACGTCCCAGGGAGAGTAAGGCATGTACCCAGTCGGTGTCCCCGGGGAACGCATGCTATGGTGCCATGAGCACAGCAGAGTCCCGAGTCCCAGGACGACAGAACTGACTGGAGCTCGCTGGCAGGAGTCAGAGCCAGTGCACAGGGTCTCCGAGGCTGTACATCACACAGGTGATCGCCCATCTTTCTCCCGACCCCCTGAGAGGCACCGCCTGTGGGGCAGTGGCAGTTCTCTACAGGCCAGGCCGCGGAACTCCTCGAGTGGACTGCAGCATGAGGGCCATTAAGTAATAATGTAACAGGACGCCTGGACGTCTGGAATAGAGCACTTAACAAGTTTCCTGAGAGTCAGCGTCCTTTAGTGGGGAACTTCCTAGAGTGATGAATGTGCGACCTGCACTGGGCGCGTCCCAGAGGACGGGCGGTAGCAGCGTGGCCTGGATAAAACAGTGAGCGTAACAATGTGGTCCTGGAGTGGGCGCGTCCCAGAGTCACCAGCACGACAGCGTGAGTGTATGTCCTAGAGCATGAACACCCTAGAGCAGCACATCCAAAGGACACAGGAAATGGAATCTGAGACCACATTCAGACGGGGGCTGTGCCCACCCCTTGCGGGGTACCCCAGTCTGCGGGGCTGGCCGAATCTCCCACAGACCTCACCACAAAGTCAGGCATCCACACGTCAAGCCCAAAGTCCGCCCAACAGCAGACAGGTATTTAGCAGGCCTCAGGACCTGACTCCCAGTCTCCAGGACAGGAAGAGAACTCTGGGCTGTAAACAGCTTTACTGTCACATCTTTTCTATGTGGACCTAGAAATACTGTATCTAGAAAACACCGCAGAGCAGCCTCTGGTGGCTGAAGAGGAGAGACCAGCCTTATACCCGAGCATGCAGACCCCACAGCCACCCAGGAAGGGACAGCAGAGCTCCAAGCGGACAGAGGCACCAGGAAGCACTGGGTGGTGGCTTTAGTCTGGACTGCTGCCCACCAAGGGCAATGGCCAGACAGATGCTGTCTCAGCACAGAGTAAACCCAAGCCCCAGAAGGTGCCTGCTAAGACTGTGGTGAAAATCTCCTCCCAAAAGTTTTGCTATTAGGTCTTTTACTATTTATTTAGAACGATCACTTTGATCAAACTGCTACGACTCCAGCAAATCCTAAGAACACAAGGCTGAAGTGCAGACAGTAAGGAAGCCCCAGATCCAACCTGGCAAAACCTCTGCCGCTTCAATGACTCAAACTCGGTTCCTGGGCCACCCATACTCAGCTGCTCCTGGCCCTCCGGGGAGAATAGCCCAAGGGAGCAAGGTGTGTGGCCACTCGGTCACTAGAGGGGAGCGAGTCCAGCACTCAGAGGTCGGCCACAGGCCAGGGGCATGCAGCTAAGTGGAAGAAGGACAGTCCCCTGGACATCTCTTGGGCAGGACCCATGTGCCCTAGCATGGGTGGGACTTAGCGAAAGCTATCACCTAACACTACTGCTCTTAACTTAGACAAAACCAAACTCGAAACATTCTCCTGAAGGCGAGTGCTCTGACGAGTGGGGCTGGCTGGTGGATTAGGAGACTCAAGTTAGCAATGACAACGGGTTAAGAAGGAAGGTGAGTTAGTAGCCGGCACACGACAGTGAAGCAGGATGCAGTGCGGGGAGGGCGCAGGGCGCGGCAGGGAGGGCAGGCGGCCTGCAGGTACTTACCCCGTTCCACTCCACGCTCATACTCACTTCCTCCCCGCCCGCACCGCTCTCGTACTTGACCACGTCCGAGGTGAGGCTCTCCCGGCTGCGCCGCTTCTCCGAGCCCTCGGGCTCATTGAGCACTTCGGCCACTCTCTGCTTGTGGGCAGTGTCGAGACCCTGCGAGGGGACAGCGGGCGCCGGTCAGCACTCACGCCCCAGGAGGGGACGCCTCCCACACCTGGTGGACACAGCAAGGGCACTGCCAGCAGGCTCCCCAAGGACATAAGCATGGACAGTCTATACACACACAACATGGTATTCACAGTGGCCTGAGGGCACGATGTCCTGCTTCACAGGATGACAGTGGACGTAAGTAACATACCTGTACAGGAGCGCAAAATTCTGGGGGGTCAACAGGTGTGCTATGCTCGGTTATAACCCAGCTGTCCCCCGGCGGCTGATGGACCAACAGTATTATCACACCCAGCTACTGATGGACAACGTAATCACACCCAGCTGTCCCGCAGCTACTGAGGGACAATGTAATCACACCCAACTGTCCCCGGCTACTGATGGACAGTGTAGTCACACCCAGCTGTCCCCAGCTACTGATGGACAGTGTAGTCACACCCAGCTGTCCCCAGGCGAGTGATGGACAGTATAGTCACACCCAGCTGTCCCCCAGCGAGTGATGGACAGTATAGTCACACCCAGCTGTCCCCCGGTTAGTGATAGACAGTGTAATCACACCCAGTTGTCCCCTGGCTAGTGACGGACAGTGTAGTCACACCCAGCTGTCCCCCGGTTGCTGATGGGCCCAAGGTGTGTGCCTTAAGGGGCAATGACAGATGACTGCCGAGAGACACAAAACATGAAACATTCTTCAAACACTTTCATCCTAGTGGGGGGAATGGGCACTCTCCCCAGCCCCCGTCCTGCCTCAGGGGATCTTTTCCTCGTTCGTTCGACACATAATCACTACAGCCTATAGGATGTGACCTGATAATGTGACAAGAGAATTGAAAAAGACACACTGACAACCTGTGACGTCTGTGAGGCAGTGACTTCACACTGTGGACCAGTGAGCAGGTGGGACCAGTGCTCAGAAGGACCACATGGTCCATAAAGTAGAGGCTCAGAGCAAAGGAGGAAGCCCCTGGGCCACAGGGACTGACACAGCGGCTTCAGCAGCCAGCTCAGACGTGACAATGGCCGTGACGGTGCACAGGACCGGGCAGAGTTTGTGCTCTTGGACACAGACACCCCAAACCCACTGCTGCGAGCAGATTCCAGCTGAGAGCAGCTTCATGTTTGAGGCTGTGTATCTTTACAGGAAAAGAAGGCCCACCTTTCTCCCATGGAGGGGCTGGTGGATTCAAACCACTGACCTTTTAGATAGCAGCCTAATACATAAGACACTATGTCAGGAGGGCTCCTTTGTACATAGACAGGACACTGTAAATTGGGGCTGACTGGGCAGCACCTACTGGTAATAACTGACCCCAGGATTTTGGGGTTCCTCACCAGTGAGGGTGTGCTGGAGCCAACTGTCATCGGCCTATGCTAGAGGGGAGCCAATCTCTGGGGAACCAAGGAGACAGTGAAGCATCCCACTGCCTACTTACAGCCCCATCTTGTCTGTCTGTCTGCACTCGGCTCCTTGTGGTCAGCTCACAGCACGTCTCCGAGCTGGTCTACAAGTTCGTGACGTTTACTAACAAAAGGAGGAGTGACCAGTCTTCACTTTTCTTTATTTTCATTTCCATGAAGGTTTACATGTTTCTCAATCACACACATTTAGAACATTTACTACACGTGATTAAGTCATGACAATGTCTACCTGTTACCTTTCTTTCAGTCAATTTACCCATTTACTCATTTTTATTACCCGCCCCCTCTGTTCCCATCTGAGAGTGACCCTGGGTGTAAACTCCTCCTTGGTTTAGCCAGGGAAGGTCAGACCTGTGAATCATGGGTCACTCTGAGTTGGACTCCACAAGCCTGACAACATCGCCGTGTTGGGTTTCTGTTTCCAAAGCGTCGATCACACAGGAGGGATTGCCCATCTTTCTCCCTCCAAGCCAATAGTGGACCTGAGAGGCCCAGCCTTAGGGGCATCGGGCCGCTCCCCGAAGCCCACGGCCTCAGGCTCCCCAGCACTCCTGTCACTACTGACTCCTCGCACTGGGCATGCTGGCCTCTGGATGCACCCCCATCACACACTGTCCCGTGGCTTCTGAGGAGGGCTGCTGAGTACCCCACTGGGGAGGCACCGGGTTTTCTTCAGCAGTAGACGGACTCGGGCTGTTGCGTAAATACTGCTACAGTGAAGATGGTGTGCGTGGTCTGCTCACGTCACAGCCTTTATTTCTTGGGAAGAGCTGTGAGCAGGGGGAATGCTGGAGCCTGGTTTCTAAGGAAGCGTCAAACTTTCCCAGTGGAGGTGCCCCACTTTCCAGTCCCAGCAGCGGTGCGTGGGAGTCCCAGGCTGTCCACATCCTCTCCAGCAATCGCTGACCCTCTGCTGCTACCGTGGCTGTGGTGGGATGCTACCTCACTGCTTGGCTAGCACCTAACAGCTCATATACAGCGACCAGGCAGCAGTCTTCTCAGGGCAGAACTGGCAAGAAGTTACTTCTTTAAGCTTCTGTGACTCAACTTTCTTTCTATACTTCCTCTCACGGACTTCGGACATGCTGTCAGGAGGCACAGTCTTTGGAAAAGACATCATGCTGGGGAAGTGGAGGGTCAACAAACTACAGGAAGACTCTCAACGAGACGGACGGACACAGCGGACAATGGGCTGGCGCCTGGCGGAGGTCGTGAGGATGGCGCAGGGCAAGCATTCGGTCTGCGGTTCATAGGGTCGCTATGAGTCGGAGTGGACTCTACGGCACCTAACAACAATAACAACAACATACTCTGTTGTCCATCTCAACCTGGGGTGCGGACATCACAGCCCTGCAGCATTCCTACAGAGGCCTGGACACTGCAGGGGACCAAGCACAGTGGCGAGGCGGAGGACAGAGATCAGGCTTAGGACCCCCACCCAGTGCCCCCGACGGACGCTCTGCTGTGTTCAGAGCTGTGAGCCTTCAGGTGAAGACACAAGGTCTCTAAAAGGAGCAGAGATCTCAAGAGAAGGAACAGGCCTCCGCACACTCTCCAAGCACGTGTGCGACAGCGTCACACACTGCACACTCCTCACTCCCCAGACTGACCATCAGGTGACAAACCCAAAGGAGCCACTCGCCTGTTTACGGGACCTCATAGCAGCCTCTTCGAGTGTCTCCGCGGCTTCAAACTTGCCCTGGCGTCTGTAGAGCGCTCCCAGGTTTTTCAGAGTTGTGGTGACGGTGGGACTGCAGGAAAGCACAGCACACACGTCATGACACCCTGCCCACTGGCACTCGGGTTCTGGCTCAAAACCACCGGATTTCTAGGGCAGTTCTCATACCAAATGTGAAACGCAAACATTCCTCCATCTCACACCCCCCACCCCACTGTGAGCACATGTGACACGGTCACGTCCACCTTCATGGCCTCTCACCACTGACCCAGGTCCAGGGGACCTACACATAGGTTAACCGAGGCATTTACAGGGTAGGGGCTGAGGAGGAGTCTGGGAGCGTCTCCTACAGGGGAGATATGGGCACTGTGGGCACTGTGCTGTCGCTGCCCACGGAGCGGACAGACTCACCTATCAACCTTGCAGGCTTTGTACCAGCCACCATACTCGCCGAAGGACGCCCCGTCCCGCTGCTTCCCCTGCAGAGAACACAGGTCCAAATCCACAGTTATTCTGAGGGAAATCTGTCCAGTTTTGGAAATCACTCAAAACAGCAGGTGCTTACTTTGCATTCTTCTCTTTCCTCCGCGTGCATCCAAATGGGTTTATTTTCATCTGGGGAAGAAAATCACCCGTCATAAAAGACAGCAGAGCCACTGCGCAGGAAACCAGTCAATACATTTCCATGAATTGGGTTTCTGTTCTGGTTTTCAATGAAGCCTCGAACCTCTCATCACCTGAAGGGATGAGGACTGGACTGGAAGAATTCCAGCCACGGGAGTCAGAGTGCGGCATCCAGACCACAGGCACAGAACGTCCAGGCCACAGCCACGGGGACAGTTCAGCATCCAGGCCAGGGCCACAGGGACAGAGCGTCCAGGTCAGGGCACGCAGCCTGCCCTCACCAAGGCCGTGAGAGGTAGAGACACACACCCAACACGAGAGAAGCAGTGGAACCCTCTCGCAGGAAGCCAAGGGTCCTGAGGGAATTCCTATGACCTGACTCTCAATGCTGCCGTTGTCAGGTGCTGTCCAGTGAACCAGTTCTGAGCGCTGTCCCACCCTGCACCATCCGCACACTTCCTGACACACCAGAGCCCCCTGGAGCAGTCACTGTGCCAATCTAGCAGGTGGAGGGCTTCCTCTCCTTCACTGTCCCTCCACCTTTCCAAGCATCATGCCCTTTTCCAAGGAACAACCTCTCCTAGCAACAAGCTCACAGTGTGTGAGCCGAAGCTTCGCCATCCTTGCCCCCAAGGAGCGCTCTGGCTACACCGTCTCTAAGACAGACTTGTCTGAAAAACAAATTTAGGCCTTGAGTCTCAATACTGAAGGAGCTACGGACACTACGCTGAATGACCCAGGAAGCATCAAAAGAAGATGGAGTCACTGTACCCCAAAAAATTGACACTGAAAAATTTCAGAAAGTACCCAATAATAATGAAGGAGGAAGTTAAAGGTGCACTGAAGGCACTGGCAAAAAATAAGGGCCCAGGAATCAATGGAATATCAACTGCCATGTTTCCACTAACAGATGCATCCTAGATGCGCTCACCAGTCTATGTCAGGAAATCTGGAGAACAGCTACCTGGTCAAATGACAAGAAAAGATCTGTATCTGTACCATTCCCAAGAAAGGCGATTCAACAGAAAGTGAAAATCATCAAACAATATCATTAATATTACATGGAAGCAAAATACTGCTGAAGATCATTAAAAAACAGCTAGCTAAAACAACGGGGGGGGGGCTACATCAGTATGTAGATAGGGAACTCTGAGAAGATTAAGCAGGATTTAGAAGAGGCCACACCATCGGGGATATGCTGATGTCGGATGGATCGTGGCTGAGTATGCGGAAGCATGTGACAGCGTGGATCATAACACTGAGAACGGGAGTCCCAGAACTCTTAACTGTGAGCATGCTAAACCTATACCTCGACCCTGAGGCTGCTGTGCAGACAGAGCAAAACAAAATTCTAGTTTAAACTTAAAAAGATGTGTGTCAGGGCTGTATCCTTTCTCCATATCTATTCAATCTGTATGCAGAGCAAAACATCTAGGAAACTGAAGCCTGTGAAGAACAACATGGCATCGGGATCAGAGGAAGACTCCTCAATAACTTTTCCGCATGCAGGTGACACAACTTTGCTTACGGAAAGGGAGGAGACTCAAAGCACTTGTGGAAGATCAAGAATACAGCCTTCAGGGAGCTCTGGTGGCCTAGTGGCGAGAAGCTGCACTGTAAATCCAGAGGTACGTGGTACGAATCCACCAGATGCTCTGCTGGAGAAGGAGGGACAATCTCCTCCTGTACCAGTCAGATCTGATTTGATGGTACACACACACAAAAATAATGACATTTTAAAAAAAACTTAAAAGAATACAGCCTTCAATATGGATTGCATCTTAATGTCAAAAAACCAAAAATTCTTACTACTGGACCTATAGGCAACATCATGATAGATGGGGAAAAAACTGAAGTTGTCAATTACTTCATCTTACTGGGCCCACAAGCACTAATACCCTTGGTACCAGTCAGGAAATCAGGAGACGTATTGTACTGGGAAAGACTACATTCGGGGACCTCTCCAAATTACTGAGGAACAATGATGTCAGTTTGAAGACTAAGGTGCATTTGATTTAGGCCACAATCTTTTCAATTACTTGCTTTGCATATCTGAGAGCTGAACAGTGAGTAAGGATGACAGAAGAACAGATGCCTTTGAGCTGTGGTGTTGGAGAAAAGTACTGAGTCTCCTCACACAGACTGCCAAGAGCACTTAGGAGTAACGTTTGGAAATATTCAGAAATTTTTTCTAATATTATCAAGAAATAAAAAGTGCTGAAGTGTTGATGAAACAAACAAGACATAAGCCAACAGAGCACACAGTGCTGCTCAGAGGCCCTGGGTGGACGAAGAGAAAGCAGCCTGCAGGGTCACAGAGGGAGGATTCTGCCGGCACGGAGGAGGGACACAAAGCTGCCCAGGGCCCCTGGTGACAGAGCTAACATGCTGCCTACAGGGAGGGTCCGTCACAGACTGGAGAGAATGAGGACAAGAGGGACGAGGGACAAGAGTGATGTCCCACACACACAGCCAGGATCCAGCATGCGCTCAGCCGGGAGGACCTGGCCACTGATGCCGTCCCACCACCAACAGCTGCCGAGTCACAGGCACCACAGTCCGCTGGCGTCCTCGTTTCTAACATGCATGAGCCCACACGAGTGACAACGTGGTGAGAGGGTTCATTTAGACGTCTCTACTGAGTGGCAATCTCTCAGTGTTGAACGTACGTCAGGGACAAGCATGATGGATAGCACGTATCACAGAAGAGAGAACCAGTTTTAAAAGAGTGATTAGTGTTTCAAAGTTACTGATGCTTACAGCACGTTTAACTACATCAGTTCAAGTAATTCTATTGCTAGACTACACCCATGCACACCACTAACAAAGCCTCACTTCCAGAGGCCTAGCAGAGCCCACAGCACAGGGGTCAGGGCGCCACAGGGCGTCCACAGAGCAGTCACGAAGCGCACAGAGGGCCAGTTACTGAGGAGACGATCAAGGGTGAACAAACACGTTTAAGTGGATGTTAGAAAACGGCTCTTAAATGAAGCTCTGATGTAATCAACAGTGGGGCCGAACGCAGCTCCACTGGAAACCCCTCTTTTTCATGCAAACACAGCCTCATGAGCTGAGAGGAGGGGAGGGTTTCTCACCATCCACAGAGCCAAACTCCCGTTCGTGTGCCCGGGTGAGGATCTCTTTGTACAGGGTCTCTGCCTGCTTGAACTTCCCTTGTTTCAGGTAGCAGGATGCCTTCAAAGAAAAGACTCACATTCTTCACATACAAAGGAAACAGACATTTTTATCCACAGGCTAAAACGAGGGAACAGAACTCAGACATCAGTAGAACAAGGGCAGGAAAGCATCTGAATAAACAGTAAACCAGCCCACCCCCAACCCCTCTCCGCGCCTCGCCAGTATACCAGGTTGTTCTTGGTCTTGGCCACGTTGGGATCGTCGGGTCCCAGCTTGGTCTGGTAGATCTCCAGGGCGCGCTGATAATAGTACTCCACCTCCTCGTACTTGCCCTGGTTCTGACACAGCAACGCCAAGTTGTTCAACTGCTTGGCGACATCAGGGTGATCCTTGCCCAGGACCTGGGGATGAGAGACACATGGCCCTGACACAGTGGATGGGAAGTCCCCGTGGACTTCAGAAGAGACGTTTTCTCAGGAGGAGCGTGACCACACCACACACCAGGCTCGTGTCTGTCCCCCCCGACGTACACACCCACACCCAGGCGTGAATGCTCATGGAGATGGGTGCAGACCCCCTTAATGCTCAGTAAAGCTAACAAATATTCTACTGGCAGGGAATGCAGCCATGACGGGGAACCGTGACTGTCCTGACAAGGACAATAATGCTGCGGGGAACGCGGCAATGACAGGGAACAACAATGCTGTAGGGGACACTGCTGGGGGGGGGGGCACTGCTGTGACAGGTAACACAGCTGTAGAGGACACTGTTCTGGAGACACTGAGGTGACAGGTAACAGCTGTGGGGGACGCTGCTGCGACAGGAAGGCTGCGTGCCAGGACAGCTCAGACGGGGCAGCTAACTCACACAGCCTCAGAAGGCGCACAGCTGTGTCCACGTGGTCACCACGCTCTAAGGTCTTGTTCCTAACTGCCAACACGCAGTTCCTGACCACAAGCCTCGAAAAGAAACATCAAACTCTCCACTTGGTCCTCGTTGTCCCTCTAGGATGGATCCCGAGGTCACATCCCACCCACCATGTCCCTCCCTCTCTTCAATTCCAACATCTGTGCCCCAGACACCTTCAACGGTGCTTCAGATCGGAGGTCAAAGGTCATCTCCAAGGAGGAGGTTTTCACTCAACCACCTGCCAGGATGACAAGAATCCATCATCCCTCTCTCTCCGGTCAGTTATCACTGACCCCACTGTGACCACGCAGAGCCCTTTCCCTACCAATGTCATCTCAGCATCTGCAGGGCTGACACCCAGATGGAGACCCAGGGCCACCTCTCTCCCTACGCTTGGCCCTTCCCCTCTGGCCTAGTGCCGGGCTGAGTGGGCCTGAGTCATCAACCCCAGCCTGGCCAGGCAAGAGTTCAAGTCCTTGGAAAGGACTTGTATCTAAGAGCAAATGTGTCAATGTGGTGGCACATCTGAAAAACTCTGATTATAAATCTAACCAACCAGGACGCTGTCGCGTCCACCCAGGCTCAGAGCACCTCTGCTGGGCTGGGATGCTGAGAACCTGTTACAGGAGACTGAATGCCCATCCTTCCCCCGCAAAGCAGCTGGTGGACGTGAACTGCTGACCTCTGGGTTATTAGCCCAGCATGTAAGACACGACCTGTGGCATCAGAGGGCCATCGTACAGGGCGCAGCACCGCGCAGTAACACTGACACTCCACATGGTGAAGAGCCTTCTCTCCCACGCTCCCACTTCCTTGCCATATGGCTCAACAGGAAGTGTCAATCTCAGCATCAGCTACACCAACAGAGGACCCCAGAGCAACCAATCAAGTGCCAGCTAAATTCAGAAACAGGACTCTAATTCTGGGGAGAAAACAAGGACTTTTGGGGCTAGACCGGAGGCCTGAACCTCTGTAAAGTCTGAACAAGCACCCCTGAAGCCAGCAGGCACATTTTATCTACACCTGCTCCCCACTATCCGCAGAAGCCGCGGTGACGACGGCTGTGAGCCTGACCGATGCTGCCGCCTGTCTCCTCCACAGCTCGTGCCTTACCCTCTCCCCATTCCCACCACTTACCTGCAAACACCAACCCCAAGTGCAGCTGACCAAGTTCACACTCAACAATACAGACCACCACACATCCTGCTCGCAAAAGCCTGAGCTCATTCTTTGACTTGGAAAGCAACAATTTCCTTTTCAGTGTCACAGAGCGGCCTGTGAAGACGCTCAGATCTGAGACGTTTGATGACCGCCTGCCCCGCTGGCAGACGAGTGCTCCAAGGCCACCCCCACCCCCAGTGCTCGGAGCCTGTCTCAGGGGCTCAGACGTCCACTGTGAGCGCCCATCATCCCCATGGGCTCGGAGGCACCTCTGTGTGGTCACTCAGCCTGGATCTGCGGGCTGTCCCTCACTGGTCAGGCCCCAGCCTGAGCCGAGCCCCCGGCCGTGGGCAGCGCCGTGGCACACACCTTCTCCCGGATCTCCAGGGCTCTCTTGCACAGCGGCTCCGCTTCCTTGTACTTCCCTCGCTTTCCGTACAGCACAGCCAGGTTGTTGAGCGTCGCGGCCACCTGGGAGGAGAGAGAGCCGCTCAGCCCGGCAGAAGTCACCGAAGCACACAGCACTCACACGGTCACACACACGCTGCGCGGAGCCCTCAGAACTGGACACACAGAAAGCAGTGCCATCATCCCTGCCAAGGTGGGCCAGTTACAGCAGGTATACAGGAGGCAGAGAGCTAATCAACACAGGACCCATGCTCCGTTTTATTTCACTAGAAGCCACAGGAGATCTACATGAAAATCAAGTCGATTTTAACAAAAAGCCAGTATCAATCCTTTAGAAAAAATTTACAAAAGTACATGCACTTTGATTTGGGATCAGATGCTAAGGTCCGTGAGCCATTTCCTATGGTGCTTGCAGCCAGATGGCCATGTGCTGGACCCCAGCGTCCCTGCACCAGCGCTTACCACTGTGCGGTGTGAACAACGGCAGCTCCCTGCAACCCTGAGAAAAGACAGCTCCTAACCTGCCCTGTTGAGTTTAACACAGGTGAGTCTGGTGGAAAGCATGCGTATCGGGGGACTGCACAGTGACGGGAGGTACCCACCGCGGGGTGATCTTTGCCTAGGGTCTTCTCACGGATGGCCAGAGCATCGTTGAGCAGGTTGGCTGCGTCTTTGTATTTGTTCTGGTCCCTGAAACACACAGCAAGGGTTTTCTGTCTAGTGTGTCTGGTTGTCTCCACAAATGCCACTGTCCAACTCTGAAAGCTCCGACCATTAAAAAAACAGGACTTAGTACTTCAACCGTTCAAAACCCCAAACCACTTGTCATACACAAGGGAGAAGGGGGAGGTAGAATGCCGCTGGGCCCTGGGATCAGACCTGGACTCAGCCTGGCTACTACCAGGCTGGACCCTCCCAGTCTACTCCTCAAGTCTCACTCACTCCTCCTCGAGATCCCCCTCAGCCCCCTCCCATAGCTGCTCCTCCTCCCTCCAGCTCCCCTCCCCTCCCCTAGCTCCTCTCAACCCCCTCCCCAGCTGCCCCTCCTCTAACTCCCCCCAGCACCCTCCTGTTGCTGCCCCCATCCCTCCAGCTCCCTGTCATGCCCCCTCCCCTAGCTCCCCCTGCCCCTCCCACAGCTGCCCCTCCTCCCCCCAGCTCCCTGTCATCTCCCCCAGATCCCCTCCCCCCCAGCCCTCATGGGACATCTCTGAACATTAACAGCACAGCAAGGCGAGCAGAGCAATGTGAAGGAAACAGACCCCAAGTGGACATCAGAAGGGTCTGAGCCAGGCTCAGCTCTGATGGCACTGAATGGTCTTGTGGCTCTGGGAACACTGGGCAATGCCCCACAGTCCCAGCACACAGGGAGGTCGGTCCTGACACAGTGCCGCTACAGAAACCAAGGCAGGTGTGCTAACATGCAACATTTATGATGAAAAAGCCCCTAGCAAAACAGAGGAACTGAAAGTAAATGCATATATATAGTATCTTGACGGAGGAGTCCTGCTGCTATAATGGTTCAGCTGCTAACCAAAAGGCTAGTGGTTCAAACCCACCAACTCCTCCAAGGTGTGGTGGCCTACTTCTATGAAGCTTACAGCGTGGGGAGTCCTGGGGCAGGTCTACCCTGTCCTACAGGGTCACCAGTGGTCAGAAGGATTCGGCGGCCAAGGCTTCGGGATTCAAGTTGACCTAGCGCACAGCCTGCACGAGTCCTGAACAAGCAGGGGACAGGCTTTCCAATACTGAGCTCTCTGATCAAGCCGAGAGAACTAACTCAGTCTCCTAAGGACAAACACTGCATAATAAGACCATGTTTATCAATAGAAGGGTAACTAGGAAGATGTGTAAGAAAGTCCTACAGGGAAAAGGGAGGGAGAGGGAGACAGAGGAGGAGAACTCCTGAGTCATGGAGACAGAATACGGTTTGAAGACATTAGGAAACACCCAGTGTGGACCTGACCAGGTGGAGTAATGATGGCCATGGGCCAATGGAGATCCATTTTATAAAACAACTATGGGAACGAGACTAAGAAACACAATGTGAAGAGAGGAACACCTGAAACCCCATATATACAAACGAAACACAATGTATTAGTGTTTCATGCACAAACCAAACGAAAATAAACTATTTTAAAAAAAAAAGGAAGATGTGGGCAAATCACCTGTTATGCATCAGAGTTGGGCAATGACTAGGGAGGATAGAAGGAGAGTTGATGCCTTTGAGCTGTGGTGCTGGAGAAGAGAATTGAGAATACCATGGACTGCTAGGAAAACAAACAGATTTGTCCTGGAAAGGGTTAAACCGGGTGGCTCCTTGGAGGCAAGGATTCTGAGGCTCCATCTAACATACTTTGGACATGTGGTGAGGAGAGACCGGTCCTTAGAGAGGGACATCATGCTTGGGAGGGTGGAGGGACAGCGCAGGAGAGGAAGGCCCTCTATGAGGTGGATTGATTCAGTGATTGGGATAATTGGGATGGGAGTGTAGGAGACAGTGCGATTGGCACAGGACAGAGCGGAGTTTAGGGCTGTTGTACATAGGGTCGCTATGAGTCGCAGGCGACTCGGCGGCACATAACAACAACAACAAACAAGTTATTTTAAGTTTTTTAATTTTGGATGACAATAAAAGGTCTGCCGTAGACAGACAATGGTGAAACATACAGTAAAGGTATACTGAAATTAATTGGAAGGATGCATTAACAAAGCAATGAGAAAGACCCGACCCTGTGTTAATATGGGGTGAGGCTGTGTTTGCTTTTCCACAGAATGAACAAGCTCCTAGTTGGTTGCCTGAGCGTCTTGTGTGGCATTACTCTGATGACCACGGAAGAGACCTATTGGCCGTAAGTCACAGATCCTCCTCTCCTGCACCTGGCGACATGGAATGAGTCCCTCATCCTTATGCTTTAGGTTATCCCTCTAATAGTCATATTAAATGGGCAGAAAGACCATTCAGTTATTCTGGGTACACTTTAAGGTATCCCATCTGCTTTACCAAAAGTAAACCAAAAAATGGACGCTTATTTGTTAATAAGATGCAAAGAATATCTTCAGAGTTAGACAGTGGAAACCCATCGTGGACTGTACAATTGAATTATTTGGCTTTCGACAAACAAGCTTCCGGATATGGTGCAGGTAGAATAAACACCATCTTTCCAGCAGATGCTGACCTTCCCTCATGTTTTAGGACAGGTCATGCTGGCATCTGGCAATCACTTTGGAGAAAATGTCATCATAACAGTGCTATGGCCATTCTCTTATCTAACATTAGCACTGGTAATATAATTTTTAAAGGACCAACAATTGGAATGCTACCTCGCTTGGACTACCCTATGTTATTAGACTGGTCACCTCTTCATACATATGGTCCTGGACTTCCTATGAACGGATTTGTAGGAGGAATGTGGACTATAGATATGCAGAACTTTCAAACCGAACTGTGGAAACTAGTTGCCAGCATGGATTCGATAAATTTCTTTCCTGTATACCTAAAGATAATAATGTCACAGATGCCAAAGTCCTGTCTTGTGTACCTGAACCATATGTCTTATTGATTGGTAATAATGTTATCACTGGTGATTATCTGAAATATAATGTGAGCTGTTCTCGGTATAAAATTTCTAACTGTATTAGCTCTGTTACCAGAGATGATTCAGCTGTTATTCTAAAGAATCCTCCTTTTGTTATGACACCGGTAAAGTTAAATGATATTTGGTATGAGGATAAAGGCTTGTAAATTTTAATAGAGTTATATAAGTTGTCATTAAGAAGCAAAAGAGCTGTAGGTCTGGTTACTGTAGGAATTGTTTCTTTTATCTCTATGATTGCTACTGTTTCTACTTCTGCTGTAGCTTTGAATCAAGAAGTCCAAACGACTAAGTTTGTAAATGGGTTAATGCACAGTGTCAAAAAATTGGGTAGAGCAAGAAAATGTGGATGAAGTTATGGAACAAAAATGAAATACTTTATATGATACAGTGAATGTATTAGGAAACATGGTACAACAAATGAGAATGAAAGGAAGGTTAGGATGCCATGCGGCATATGACTGTGTTACTGAATTGAAATACAATAGCTCAGATAATGACTGGACAAAGGTAGTATCTCATTTAAAAGGAATTTGGATGTCTAATAATGATTCTCTTGATTTGTATGATCTGCAACAAAGAATTATAGAAATGCAGAATACCCCAGTTATAATTCCCCGCTGAACAAGCTGGTCAAATATTTGAGAATCTAAAAACTGGTTTCCTTCAGTAACTTCATTTAGAAATCTTCTTTTTACGATTGTTGCTCTTTGTATTGTTATCATAGGTATACTATGGGTCCTCCCTTGTGCTGGTCATATAATAGCCAAGTGTTATAGAGAACTGCTGTGTAAAGTGCATGGAATTCAACTTAAGGCCCTCCCCAGACAAATGCAGGATGTGTAGCCAAAGATGGGCAAGGAAAGAGACTCGTTCATGATCCTAAGACAGGGAGTAGCATTGACTGCTATGATCCCGAGGACGGGCAACTGGAGTTTGAGGAGCTGTCGGGAACTGGCTAACCTGCAAAGCAGGGATCAGGGATGCACAGTAAAAACAGCAGGCCCACTCATCTTGGCTTGACCATCCTTTCTACAGTAAACAACTCCAGGAAGCAGTATGCTAATGAATAAGGAGGGACCAAAGGCCTCAGAATTCTAGGAATGTGATATCGGTTTGTCTTTTGTAATATAAGATATCCCCAGAAGAGGTCTTTGTTTTGTGTGAATGGCTGGGAATGTTCAATCTACCAGTCAACATCTAGGACAGATAAGAGATAATGCGATTACCCCTGCAGGCATGTTCCCTGTGTGTGTGTGTGTGTACACCCTTGCCAGAATATTAAACTTGCTATTTGTCATCAGCAATTAGCTTCTCCGCATCTTCATGTCAACCTGGTGCCTCCTTTTGGCGGAATTCTCCTGACATATCGGGGCTGGGTCCCCAATACAGCTCCAACCCCCAGCACCTGTGTACTTTCTTATTAAAAATCAACATCCAGCCCTATCTCTTGCCTAAGAGAGAGGCTGGGGCGTGGGGCAAGGGTCTCATTTGGCATCTACAGAACAGCAAGCATGTCATCCATGGTCTGTGCAGATTCTGCACATTCCCCCCACTTTGCAGCTGAAGCACAGAGAGGTACAGACCTGCCCGGGTCACCACGCAGGTGAAGTAGGAAACGCTAGACTGTGAGCTCTGTGAGGACAGGGACCTGCTGGCTCTCTGATATGTCCCAAGTACTTAAAAATATCTAGTGTGTACCTGGGACTCAATAAATAAATGTTGACTTTCATTACCAAGCCCCCTCCCCCAAAAAAGAGCTACTGTTCTCTGTAACCTGAATACTCTGGCCACGTGCACCTGTCTTATTCTCCTGCGAACACATTTTATCAGCAGCCACAAACTTACTGATGAAGGTCTACAGGGCTGAAGTAAGTTTCAACGAGTAGAAAATCCCTAGCTGTCACATGCTTGGGGTGCTAACTGTCCAAGGGCATGGTAGCCAACCCTGGGGCACAGCTCTCACCTGTGGCCCCAAGCCAAGAGCGATCCACCTCCCCTGGGAGCCCAAGGGAAACATTAATTGCCTGGTCCCACTCCAGAAGACCAAAGAAGAATGAAGCAGGCCCTTGACCTGTGCTGGAGATGAGTACA